GTGTGTGTGTGTGTGTGTGTGTGTGTGTGTAAAACATATATGTAATTGGTTCATGACTTGGTTATAAAATAGAAATGGAAATGTGCTGGCTTTTAAAGACTTGAACCACCCTCCATCCAGTTCCCATAAAGCTTCCAGAAACCCTAGGGGCTCACCAATCACTAGAAGACTAAAAGGTATTTTAAACAAGGTTCAAAAACATAGTTATTCCTAGGTTTAAACCTGTTGTCCACTTCTTCTCTACCCAAAAGGTATTCATTGCCCAGAAAAAGCTTGTTGCCTTTTCATGGTGTCTTTTCATATTGGCAGTTGTGGGGAACCAAGAAGAAAGTCCTTTTGTTACACAATTTCTTTTTCTTTTTAATTGAAATATAATTGATTGTTCATAACTGTGGGGTGCAGCATTGAGTATCAATACATTTGTGCAATATGTGTTACACAATTTCTGAGTGTCTTTTATCTTCCACACCACTAGGACAGGGTACAAAATTATGTAAAATATATTTGTGAAAACTGGGATATTCAGGCCATTATGCAGCTACTACAAAGTAATATTTGTGTCACAAAGATAAAATGCTAATATTTGGTTTATTTGGTTGAAATTCTCCATTTGCATTTTTAGGCAGATTGAAACTCCATACCTAGGAGTCTAAGGTTACTCATTTATATATATGTGTGTGTATATGTGTGTGTGCACACAAAAGTATCTAGAGTCTAGGGTTACTCATTTGTGTGTGTGTGTGTGTACACACAAGTATGCATGCCTTTAGAACACTTATAAAACAGACAACATTCCTATATCAGTTTTATTTCGGTACCTGAAATATCCATAAATCCCATAAATATCAATGCACTGGTAACAAAATAAGTCTGTGCACCAGAAGTTTAAAAGATAAAAGATGTTTTCTAGGTAAAAGCATTATTCTTTAAAACCTATATAATTCATCTTCCTGTTTTTTCATTTGTTTTTCAGAANAAGCATTATTCTTTAAAACCTATATAATTCATCTTCCTGTTTTTTCATTTGTTTTTCAGAACTGTTGTATTTCTAAATTTAAGAAGCACATAAAAAATAAAAGTCATGTGGCTATCATCTACTTTGCCCACCCCAGACTAGCCTTAAGCAAACATTTTAAATATTCTGAACAGTCAGATCCAAAGAGGGAACCAGCTCCTATTTCATTTTATTCTTCTGTTTTGTTCTTAATCTTTATTCCTGTGGCTCTTCTCACCCTACATATCTTGAGACTTCTCAGAGGATTTTTGCTCTGTGGAGATACCCTTGGGGCAGCCCGTGGAGATGAAGGCAGACTTCACATGCAGGGGGAAGAAAGACTGGGTGGCATCAAACAGTGAATCCTTCCAGAAGGGAGAAGACACTGAGTCATTTTATTGCTCCAACTGTGGCTCTTCAGTCAAGCTAGAGGAAACAGCTTAAATGTTTCTTGCTTTTTCTGGCTCTCTTCCTAACTTTTTCTCTATTCTGAGCATGAACAAATTCTTCCATAAGGAAGAAAAAGATTCTTCAAATTCTTTAGGCAATCCCTGGAGGGTAAAAACCATCTCAGGAGTTTTAGGTTTTTCAGAGGTGCAAGGAGCATATAAACATGTCATGGGGAGAAATGAATCAGTATTTCATTTTTCACTGTGAAAATTAATTAATTTGGAACAACATAATATACGGCAGTGACACGACATCTCCATTTGCTTTTCCCTGGGCCACTCTTTGTATTTGGAAGTTTGCAGTGAGAAACGTGCCAGTGATGAATGTCTCAGGCAGGGACAACTTTCCATAGTCCTAAAACCAGCAGCTGCTTGGAGTCAGTTCTGAATAGAGGACCTTGTCTACCAAAATAAATCCTTCTTTAAAATGCAGTGTATGATGCAGATGAACCTTGAAAACATTATGCTAAGTGAAATAAGCCAGATATGAAAGGACAAGTAGTGTATGATTCCACTTATGTGAGGTGTCTACAGTAGTCAAATTCATNGGTAAAAACCATCTCAGGAGTTTTAGGTTTTTCAGAGGTGCAAGGAGCATATAAACATGTCGTGGGGAGAAATGAATCAGTATTTCATTTTTTACTGTGAAAATTAATTAATTTGGAACAACATAATATACGGCAGTGACACGACATCTCCATTTGCTTTTCCCTGGGCCACTCTTTATATTTGGAAGTTTGCAGTGAGAAACGTGCCAGTGATGAATGTCTCAGGCAGGGACAACTTTCCATAGTCCTAAAACCAGCAGCTGCCTGGAGTCAGTTCTGAATAGAGAACCTTGTCTACCAAAA